TAAATTAAATAATATATAATATTGCTGTTATTTATAAGGGGTGAAACTTAAATTAGTAAATCAATCTATAAGATTTATTCTTTAAATAAAGAATTTAATTTATTATTACATCTCCTTTTTTTAATTATGGAAAAACTTGAAACTACTAAATGGAATAAATAAAGCATTTTATAAGTAGTTTACAATTAAGTTTTAAGCAAAATCAAAATAACTCTTCAATAAAGAGGTTAGTCGTTAAATTTATGTATAAAAGTAACACATATCATAGTTAGGGTTAAGGAGGGATTAAGTAATAGGTGAAAAACTTTTAATCTAAATATTCATATTTATTAAAAAAATAATTGAAAGACTTTAATAAAAGAATAAATGAAAAATAAATTGGAAAAGCCTCTTGCTAAAGGATAGGCGAATTGACTTTAGTAGGCTTATAATTTTTGTATAAAGAATTTACATATGGAGCTAATTAAATTTAACTTTCGATCCATTTTATTATCAAATATTATTTTGTGCTATCCTAATAATGGATTTCGGCTTAAATGATCTGTCTCATATAGAGAGTACTTTAACGATTTAAATATAATTATTAATCTCTTTATACTTGCTAAATTGCTAAAGATATTTTACATATTTAAATTCTTTGAAATTTAAAATAAAGTTATTCCATATCAATTATCAACTTTGAAGTATCTGTATGATTATTGTTAAAAGTAAATCTTTTTTAAGAAACTTTTATTTTCAATTAATTTAGTTTGTTAAGATTTTAAAATAATTTAACCTAATCAAATAAAATTAATTTTGTTTTTATTTAAAGTATTTTATAGGAATATTTTTATTTATAATTACTTCAATGAATTTATACATTAACATAATTAAAAATTGATTAATCTATAATGTTTATATTATTTAATAATTCATAATTCCTAATATTTCCTTATCTGATATTCTTTTGTTTAATAATCCCAAGTAATCAAATACTGACCATCATCAGTCATATATCCAAAAATAGTTCCAGTTCCAAAGTCAATAGATTACTCAATAATAAACTCACCATTTTATTTCTTCCTTATTAAATTCACATTTGAAGCATTCTTATTCACAAGGATACATTTTGATTTTATATATTATTAAGGAAAGAAATAATGATCCGAACTACCTTTAACAGGAATATCTTTAGTTTTGGTATACTATTTATTTGTGCTATTCATCTCAAATACATGCATGTACTCTTTTCCATTAGGTTAGAATGTGAATGTATTATTATCTATATAACATAATCTAAATCCTCTTGTTTCTACTGTAATCTTTTATATTACAATCCATTATTTATTCTATTCTTCTATTACTAATATAAATTAATCATTCCCACAAGATATCACTCTATTTTATTATTCATTTAAACTTAATCCATATACACCATCATTATGATCTGTAATTGTCTATGAACAAATCCATTCATTCTATTTCTACCAGAATTTAATTGTGTTATCATAACTGCCAGACACAATAAGATCTTCATTATTATTTATTATTAAACATCTGATATAACTTGTATGTCCATTCAATTTTTATTAAGAAATCCATGAATTATTTTGATTTCTTTTCCAAATAATAATCTATTTATCATCACTTCCAGATATAAACTAATCTGATCTCTTCATAAAATTCAAAGTAGCAACATCATTACTATGTTCACTTAAAAGTTAAACTTACTTCATAATTGCTTATTAAAATTCAAATACTTTAATTTAATTTGAACATCCAGCAACTAATATAGAACAATCTTAATTAACAGCAATTGCAAAACACCGTTCATATTATTTAATAGAGTTTTGTTATATTAATTAATAAGTGAATGGTTTAAGATTGAATTAAGTAGATATTGATGATTATTGAATAGTTTATTTATTTATAAATTATTAATCTTTTTCTTAGATTTAGTTTTCCCATTTAATTTGATTTTCTTTTTATTAATTTTAATAATATTGATCCTTCTTTTAAAATACTTTTTGAATATTAGTTTTGATTAAAGAAGTCACTTCTTAATTGATTTATTTTTAATAATCTTAATTTTAAAATTGAATTAAAGTATTAATTTTTGGTAAATCTGATTATAATTAAGATGGTGATATCTAAATAAAATTAAATTTATCATTAAGAATTTGATCAAGTTATGCATCAATTCTATTGAATGATTCCTATTTATTAAATAATTATTATACATCTATTGCTTATTACATATTTTATATTATTCCTTCTGTTTTGATTTTGTAATCTTCTCTTATTTAATCTACTTATTCTTGCATCTCTTAATAATTATTTTATTTAATTAATAATTATATCAAATCTCTATTCAACTAATTAAAAATAAATGTAATTCTATTAAATCAATTTTTTTCATTTTATTTGAATAGTTTGTGTGTGAATAATTTAAATATATTACAATAGAATGTTTCAAATTATAATATTTTATTTTTAATATAATAGCGCAAATGAATTTGATTTGAATGAGTAAATTTTAAAAAAATATGTTGCAAGATTACATTTTAGAGAATATAATTTCAAGAAATTATACAAATATTTATTTGAAAATAGATTATAACAATTAAATGTTATTTGGTTAATTAGATTTCTTTAGCTTATAATATTATTATTCATAAATAAACTCTTTCATCTATATTAT